ACCATCTAGCTGACATTAAACATTTGTCAAGGCGTCCGAAAATTTCAATCAAACAGTGCTCCCTAATACTATTTCTCCTGGTTTGAACTTATAAAAATATCAAGACCGGTCAATTTCCTACGGTTTTATCCCGATTAAGAGCAAACTGTTACTGCCAATCTGTGATCTATTAAATCCGCGACCTCTAGCGTCAACCTGTGCAGAATACTCGTAAAAACCTATAGCCGGGAAGATCACTGCTTTGTTTGTGCGGTAGACTGTTAGTTGCAATATCGGGAGATCTCTGGACAAACCGGCGCCTTTAACTTTAACTTAACACGAGGATCCCTCTCAAGTGAATATCATTCTCCATTTTAAACGACATGACGCATACTTCTGGTCACAGTGGACAGGCGTGGAGGACTAGAAGAGGCCTGGGTTTCTGGTATTTTCTACAGAAATGTTAAAAGGCTAAGGCATGCCTAGTTGAGGTTTAGCAGTTGCTCATTTCCTTCGGTAATTAGCATTTCAATTTGTTCCTATTATAAATGATCTGATCAGGTAAGGCCATACTCTCGTCATTTCCGTATATTGAATTTCTAGTCGGAAACCGAAAAGTCCTCTGTCTTCTCTTTTGACGGAGGAGCCAGAAGCAGCCCGAGTGAGATCACATTTTTCAGCTAAAGCCACCTGCGCTTCTCATTGAGCTCCACTTTCAAATTGGTGGCAGTTTTGGCTCGTTAACTTCAGCTAGTACTAAATTATTATCAGGAAGAATACGGGAACTTAGAAAAATTGGTTGTTTTTGTGGTGGAGTGGAAACCCTAACCTACTGCACAATATCTCATTGCGCCATTCCTCCCGGGAATAAACGTCAAATATAGGCTGTTTATTTATTTATATTCTTGTGCATGTGCTTATTACACCGTTTTGTTTGTTTCGTCTATTGTTTAATAAACAAAATCGGGGCATTTGAGGTTTGATTTCTGAGCCTTTGAATATGTTTTCCTATACTGGTAATAAAAAATAGTTTTCGTGCAAAACAGGCTTCTCCTGGACAACAGAAATGTTACTTACTACTACGTTATGTCTAGCAGTACCTAATCAGATATTTTTGATGCGTTGTTTTCAGTTCAGGTCAACACTGCACTGAAATCAGCGCCAATGAGTTCTCATAGATCGAAGGGTCGCTCATCTGGAGAAGGTAGCAGCTCGACTGCTTCAACAAATTCGCCGCGTCAGCCCAGAAAAGAGGAACTCGAGCAGATGGGTCAGCAGAAGGTTAGCCCTGCGCATTTTTTTTCAGCTTCCAGATGCACCTCCGCACTTTTTGCTACCACAGCGAAAATTTTTTCGACATTGTTGTGACGGACAAGCTTATAAAGGTTGCACGCCTCACACACCAAACTTAGCGTAAGTTATGAGCTAGACTTGACTTGTTATGAGCTAAATGAGAAAAATGTTTGTATGACTATGAGAAAAATGTATGAGAAAAAAGTTATGAACTAAAATATCTTACTTTTTTGAGCTAGACTTTCAGAAACCTTCACACAGTGCCAGGACGAGACAGGGCACTATTTTGAGAATTTGGACCAGAATGGAGAAAAATAAAATATGCTCGAATGAACACACTTTCGAATTGTCAAGTTTTGGTCTTTATCTTCAAATTTAGCTTGATTCCTTCTAACAGTGCAGTTGTCCCACCAAGTTACATTGACGTTTGCAAATGTTACACAAATGCGTGCTTTTAGGTGACACCAGAGCTGCTGGAATATATGAAAAATTTTCAGTCTCCATACATGAAAGACGTTTCGGCTTTTGAGAGACTGGCTAAGATCGGAGAGGGCACTTTCGGGTAAGTGTCTTTTCATTACACTGAAATTGAAACTATTCCGAAAATGAGTGCATTTTTCTGATATTTCAGTGAAGTGTTCAAGGCACGGTGCAAAGACACGGGTCGCATTGTCACTTTGAAGCAAATCGAAATGGAGAGCGAGAATGAAGGAGTATGTTGTTTCAAGAAATAATGGAAATGAAATAAAAAATCGGGCTGTAATTTAAAAATATTAACGTTAAATCGAAGTGACAATAATAATAATGACAACAATAGTAGTAATAACGGCAATAATCATAAATCAGACTAATATAAACAAAAAATAATTTCAAGGCTAATTTCTTCGTCTGGGCGAAAATGATGTGATTTACAAATAGTTTATGAATATGCACATAAAAATCCGAACCCATACAGCATATCATAGTGTAATGATTCCAGTGAGCTAGACATTTCCAAGGTACGACGGTGTGCAAAGTTTGGCCGCTCCAGTCGTGCCTCATTTTCAAAGTGTAAGGTGAGCTTCCATGGCCTGTGTTGCGCTGACTTTTCGCAGACTGACTGTGAAGGTAGTTCACAATTCCGGCGGAGAACAGACAAGACGCCGCAGTTGCTCGACGTCAACGCAAACTTCTTTTGTTGACGGACTCCTTTGCAGTTCCCGGCCAAAACACTGCAAGAAGTGAAGATGATGCAGAAATTTAAGTATATGCATATCAACGAGCTTTTAGAAATATGCAGTAGCAAAGGTGAGTAGCGTAAATTAACGGTTTTTTTTACCAAAAAGCACTAAAGAGGCCTTCTTTGGCGATATCGTCTAACAGCTGGCGGGCGCTAGCACGCGAAAAAAGAGGATTACCTGGATGGAACTTTTTCAACAGGGCTCCGTGCTGGTAGCACAAGCTACAATGAGCGCTCTAGGCCTCCTGGTGCACCTCACTGTTGAATGTTCCAGCGGTGCTTGCAGTAATTGTTCGCTCATATATATAAAATATAGAAAATACCTATATTAAAAAATTAATCAAATGAGCAGGAACGTTTCGATCCATTAATTTGCGTGTATTCCTTAATGGTGCTACAACTGGAAATCGTAGTTCGGTGGCTACGATATTGAGAAATTAACAGTGTGTAAATTAAAAGTATTTGTAAATAAAATGCAAATATGTATAATGGAGTGATGTGAAGTGTATGGAATATTAAACCGATATCTAATAATAAATAAAAACAATAAGGAGGAAAGAAAAGTGATTTGCTAGATCAGAGGGCTCGTCATGATAAACAAATGGAAGTGTTAATATTTTCAGAAACAATAGATACTCGAGGATTATATACATTCTACATGGTGTTTGCCTATTGCGAACATGACCTTGCGAGCCTCCTCGCTAACACCAAAATTCAGCTATCGCTGGTACATATCAAAACAATGATGAAACAATTGTTTAAGGGACTTTACCACATACATTCTTTGAACGTCGTCCACAGTGATTTAAAGGTACCTCTTATGCGTAATTTCAGGAAAATCGCAGGAAAATACTTAATAAAAAATGTCCCCAACACACTTGAAGATGAAAAAATTGCGCGCTCACTACAAACAAATGAAAATTCAACTACGCCTGGAATAATTCGTAAAAAATAAGCATCACGCTCTTTCCTGTAGAGGATTCAGTTTTTGTCATTAGAGGGACATCATAGTTAGCCGTTCTCAAAAGCTTGCTGGCCAGTCAGCTAGTTTCCTGCTTATTTCTCAAAAGCTTTCTGGCCAGTCAGCTAGTTTCCTGTTTTCCTTGTCTGAAAGCTGTTTGACTGTCCACTTAAGGTCTTGTGATCTCTTGACATGCGCTCTTCAGTATGTTGGTTAGTAAGAAAGCATAACAAATTAGCATATGCTGCCGCAAAGCGAAAAGAGAAATCCTACGCATAACCGGCGTGTTTCAAGAAGCAGAAACTTCCAGTGGCCATCTTTCTCATCGGCCGTAGTAGAAGTTTTTTGACTCCCTTATTATGATTATGCAATTTATCAATCTGATCTTTTATCCTTCCTAACAACACGCTTTCGTTTCTGTGCTCACTAAACATATGATGGATAAGAGACTGTAGTGATTATCCACAGAGCTTATTTATAGATAAGTCAATGAAATACAAATTGCTATCCAATATGTTCATCAGTAGATGTGATATTTACAATGATACATTATCCCTGTTTCTGAGCTATTCCAGGCCTCAAACGTGTTAATCACGCAGGAAGGAATACTCAAGCTGACGGATTTGGGTCTTGCGAAGCCACCATTTTCAAAATTACCAGGTCCGTTTCATACAGTAATTTTTGTTGCATACGCTCTGGCTACTATTACTGCATCTGAAACTTTATAAAGCATAAGAAGAAAGTATCATAGATCTGAAATAAAAAATTCATTTTTTTTCAGGCCAAATAGAGCAGGGCCGCACACACCGAACGGTTACAGTGTGGTACAGTGCTCCAGAGCTG